GCATATTTTAATTAATGGAAATAATAACCCGACATATACCGGGATCCCGGGATTACCAATTTAAGATCCCGAAATACCGGGATTCACAAAATTGTCCGGATTTGGATGCCTTAGTCAAGAGCACTGTACACCACTCAAAAAAAATTAAAGTTTATAAATGAGGCTATCAAGCAACCATTTTAGTTCTATACTATCGAAAGCAGATACATTTTCGTTGACCTCCACTTACAAATCGTGGACCCCCATATTTTTTTAACGCCAGCGTAGACCCCCGTCGAGTCTCCCGTGGATCCCTGGACCTGGACCACTTTGGGAATCACTGTTCTAGAGGAACTGGAGAAAGTGGGCTGTCGGGTGATCGCCTATGTAGATGATGTGGAACTTTTGGTTAAGGGACGATTTCTAACACCCTTTTAGATCAGGCTCAAGGTTACCTGAGGAAGCCTAACATTGTGGTGTCGGTTGCCTTGTACTGCTGTAGAGGAGCCATCGGTAAAAGATGGGGTCTCGCCCAAATTAGGGTTTAGGGTTTATTTGATTTATATTACTATACAAGTATACAATAGTGAAAAATTACTGCAGTATATTAAAAGCATTGCACAGTACTTGTTTAATAATATCTGCATTCTATAGTTAATAGAGCTAGATACGAATGCAGTTTACATTGTTACTAAAATAAATTGCTATATAAGAACATGGGGTCACATCTTAATACAAGTGAGAACAATGCGTTCGAATATAAAAATACAAAATACATACATATACAAGCTGAGTTTTTTTATATTAATTATATGGAACTATTTTATTACATTAATTAGCTCTAGTAAACCAGATTTAAGCCTGTATTGTTCCAAAGAGCCCTTGTCTGGTGGAACTAACTGTAGAAGACTACACTTGTAAAACAGGAATTAGCGGAGCATTAGGCACCACACCTACACTGGCGCTTAACATATGTACATATGTTGAACACGGCCCCTGCGGATATTGCAGACAGAATTGTCGCAGCACGAATTGCTATTAGGCAAGGGGAAACCGGGTCCTTTTGTGAAAAATGGAAAAGAAGACGCTTGTCTGCTGCAGAAAATGTTTTTATAGGGCACTTTAAAACTCGTTACCTCTCGAGGGCTAGTGATGGGGGTCTGACAGGCCATTGTGCTATTGGTATTCATGCAGCGAGACTAGGAATTTCGACTGATTCTTTTGTATCAGCTGTCAAGAGGAAGATGAAGTGGAATCATCTCCACACTTTCTTTTAGACTGTCCAACCTTTGCGAGGCTAAGATGGAAGCACTTTGGCTCGCTCTTCTGAACAAACACTGAGCTCTCAGGGATCGAAATTATCCGTATTCGAAATTTCGTAATCGGCTCGCGGCGTTAACTTAACCTTGACTGTACTTCTTTGTGCTATGAAATAGTTGGTCACATTACCCATAACTCAAAACTAATTTTCAACAAAGCCTCTTTGGTCGTAAAATCCCGCTTATGAAGGTTTTGGTATTTGTTTACATAAATTGTTTAACACATTGAAGCAAAGTTGCCAATTACTTCGAAATGTACATGTCAAAAAGTAAATTCGTTTATTGTCTGCGCTTTTCTGTATGTATACCACATTATAACCAGCACAATACAACCAGTAATAAACATTGGGTGAATTGGCGACTGCCTTCCTCGGGGATGAATATGACAGGGATGAAATCGATGATGCATACGTCTTCTAAGTACGCAGGGTTGCTTTTGAGAAACAAAAAACAATTATAACTAAATAGTTTTAAGAAGTAAAGTGTAAAACGAAATTCATTGAATAATTCCACATAAAAAAGGTATACATAAATGGTTCATTTTATAAACGATTTAAATATTACGTATTTCATAGCCTTTTTTGTACAAAGGGCCTGTGCAAATTGATAGAAAAGTATGTCTGGATTGTAAATTTTTTACAACTATGAGGTGAATGAAAATTTTCGACCTAGCGGGCCTAGTGAAAATTTGACAGCAATAATTACACCTACCTGACGGTTTGAAGTGTTTTTCGTTGCAATGTTATTGCTAAGACATCTAATAAATGCATGGCTTTCAGTTTTAGAAGAATCACAGTCAGTAAAGACAAGTACCTTTTATATAATTGCTGCATTTTAATTGCTCAACTTCTTTTGCACCCATGATCCAACTACACAAGATCTGACAAGATGAAGCAAAAGAAAAAAGTTCATTTTAATAATATTTGAACAAAAAATTTATTGCAAATCGCTTAAAAATTACTGAAATAAACCACTGCCAAAATACACATAAATAAAGAGATGTAAAAACCAAAACACAAATAGCAAAAATTACGAGCGTCACGCACTTTTTTCTGAAATGCTATTGCAAATGGCTGCTCATCAACCGGTCAGATCTGTTCTAATTGGTTCTTGTTTTGCACCAGAGCATTTGTCAAAAATTTAATAAAAATTGTTTCACCATGGAACTTTTCGACTGATTGGCACAATGACTATCTGAACGCCCGGAGCGCTGCCACTGAGGGCCTTTGCCAACTGATATAAAAGAGAAAATTTTGACGGATCAAACAAAAATGTTGACATTTCTCGTTGTGAATACGAACGCCATCATTTTGACCTAGCTCGTGGGGCCACGCAAAATTTCGACAGCTTCTTAATATGTATACACATAATAGTCAGCCCTATTCTGCATTTCGGCTACGTTCCCGCATTCTGCTCCGCGAGAATCGAACTTAGGTATTCTGCGTTACGATCGAATCGAAAGAGGAAGAGAGAAAACATCTTTCGAAATCAGCTATTTGCCTAGGAATGTGGGAAATCGAAACAAAACAAAAGAAATATTTGCCACCAAACTATTGCAGCTTATGAAGTTAAAGTTTGTAAATACTTTGAAATAACTAAATATATCTAACATCATTGTAATATAAAAATAAAATTTCGTTTGTGCTTTATTTAAGTGGAAACATAATTATAAAAATGAAATCCATAGCCGCGGCGTTATTGCTTGAAGAGGAGAACGAGTCCCAGATTGCTGATGCGAAAATTGAAAGGCGGAGATTTAGGGACATGTTTGATCTTTCTCAGATGAGTGAAGAACCCTAAATTCATCATGAACTTTATTACTTAGCGCTCAAAGCCAGTGAAATTATAAACGTTGTTTGAGCACTCCACAACATTTGCTACACAGAGTGGCAGATTTGAACGCAAATGAATTCCATTTTGAAAGCCGTCGGGAGGAAGGGAAGAACAAAGCTCCATAGCAAATTCGAATTCGACAACATACGCACCACTTTTTAAAAAGTTAGTAAAAACGAGTGCAATAATAAAAGCATCTTTTTTTATGTAACTTCACACTTTATGTATGTATGTATGTATGTACATACTTCTATTAATTTTATATACAAAGAATCAATTGTATTCAGTGCATTTCACAGTCTTATTTATAGATAATGAAAACAAAAACGCCTGTGCTTCCTCTTTGAAAACCTCGCGCAATATCCCTTTTGGTTGCTAATTTGCTAATATTTGAGCCAATTTTTTGTATTGCCCGTATTACCGCTGCGAAAACACAGAAATCGAGAAAATTCATTTATGATGACTTACAATCATGCACAGTATATTTTACTCAATTTTTTTTATAAAATTTTATTATTTAAACCCACGAAAATAACAATCGAAACGTTCTCCGACAACAAATTTGCAACTTAGAAAAACGGAACTTCGATCGAAATGTAGAATAGGTATAATCGTAAATTTCGAAGATTGATCGAAAGGAAACGGAACGCAGAATACCAAAGTTGCCAAACGGAGAAAACTTCGATTCGAGTCGAAATGCAGAATAGGGCTGACTGTTTGGCGCAATAAAGAGTCAAAATCAAAATGGAGTCTGAAAAAGAACAAAAACCGTACGTTAGTTGCCAGTTATAAAATAAACCAAATTTATTTGCGAATATTTGTTTATTCTATTTATTGAGAGGCCACCACGCGGAAAAGCTTATGTTACTTATATTGATAACAGAACCTGGCAGCTCGAACGTTGCATAATTCTCAAGTAACATTAAATCTTCAAACGAATACATTGCTTGTATTTCCATCAATATCGCAATGTATAAATTTTAGCAATAGACAAAAATAGAGCTTTCCCACGAGCGTTTGTTTGGTTTTTCAACACCATTTATAATTTTCTGTTAATATAATCATGATGTGTCAAACCACACAACACAACCCTGAAATCTAAGAAAAAATCTGAGGAAGGCCATTAATTAGCAGCACGACCCAACTGCGCTCCTCAAGGGAGAATATAGCTACAATAACAACGATTACTACGACAAACCCCCAAAAAGGTTTGCTACTGTCTATACTGTCATAACCAGTAATAAACCTTGTGTGAATTTGGCGACTGCGTTCCTCGGGGATGAATATGCCAGGGATGACATTAATGGTACATACGCCTTCTAAGCACGCAGGATTGCTTTTGGGAAACAGAAAATAATTAATACGAAATAGTTTCAAAAAGTAAAGTGTAAAACGAAAGTCATTGAATAATTCCACATAAAATAGGTATACATAAATGGCTCATTTTATAAACGATTTAAATATAACGTATTACATAACCTTTTTTGTGCAAAGGGCCTGTGCCAATTGATAGAAAAGTATGTCTGGATTGTAAATTTTTTACATCTATGAGGTGAATTAAAATTTTTGACCCAGCAGGGCTACTGAAAATTTAGATCTGACAAGATGAAGCAAAAGAAAAAAGTAATGACGTTTGTAACTCCAGCGCCATGTTATCTTCTTTGAATTGAACCAAAAGTAAACAAAGGATATGAAGACGAAGCATTAAGAAAAATATTAAAGCTGTATACTGAGATTAATCGCTATATATAATACAAAGTACGATACTTCTAGCCATTGCTACTAGACCAGCCACTATACACGAGTCGCCATACACAATAGGGCCATTACTTTATTTTTTTAAATGTTATATATTCTTTCGGGCACCAGATGAATCACGTTTACGGTGCCGCGTTGTAAATCGTCCATACGACATATTCGGGACCTGGTTTGGTGATCAATATCTAATATCAGGGGCTTTGCATTGGTTGGGCCATCTTTTAAGCTTCTCAGAATTATGGTTGAACAAAGCCAATCAAGAAGTCGACTCGGAGCATGTGCCGATTATGAACAGGTTGTACAAGTTTTATAACAGAAATGCAAGTTCTGTGCGCGCTATAATGGTTGCTAAGTGTCCATGGTTAGACGATTCAAACGATTCCTTACCCGATGAACATGAGACCCATAGTTTAAAGCAATGTTTCTGTGATTTGGTTGATATAAGCGAGCAAGGACAATCGTCGACTAGTTTTGTAGGGAGTTGTCTTTCACACGCAGCGACATTACCTCGATCCCATCGCAGCACATCGCCAGAAAACATATTAGATATTCTCCAACAGAATGCTACGACCAGAACTGCGTTAGGCCATAAACATGGGACTATTCAATATTTGGATGAATATCGAAATGAATACTCTATTGGAAATGGGAATAGGAATTCATCCGATGATTGCATGGAATGCGCAGATGATTATGAAGACGAAATGGACAGCTCTATACCTAAGTACCTAATATTCTCGACAGGATCGAAAACGTATACTCCACATCAAATTGGAATAAAGCGTATAAGAAACGTAACGTTTCCAAAAAAACTTGATCCGGGACCTTCACTTAAAGAAAGAATAGCTGCCAAAAAAGCTGCAGATAGAGAAGTGAGAAACACAAATTTCCTTATGTTACATTTTCTTATAAATTTTGATTTTTAGAATCTACTGAGAACTGATCCTGACTGGTGGAATTATGACTCGGTCGCTCACTTATTTGACAAAATGGATAAAGTAATAGACTTGCATGGTCACATTATTGGAATGGCGTTGAGTCCCGATCATCGCTATTTGTATGTAAATACTCGACCATGGCCGAAAAATTATATTATAACTAATCCACTGGAGCCACCGCCTATTGCGCAGGAAATCGACATTCACGTAATTGATTTAATGACATTGAAGCGTGTCGGTAATATGTTGCGAGCACATAAAGCTTATACACCAAGCGCTGAGTGCTTTTTCATATTTCTCGATGTATGTGAAGACTACGTCGGAAGGTAGTTCTTTATTTTTATCAAAAACCAAAATTATAAGGTCATGCATTATATGTATATACATTATACAATGTACATTTGTTATAAACTTTTCAGTGGCGCGGAAGACATGCACGCTTATATTTGGGATCGATTTTATGGTATTTGTCTTGCCAAATACAGGCATGCTGATGTGGTAAACAGCGTAGCATTCAACCCTCGTGATTCAGAAATGCTCGTTACAACCAGTGATGATTATACCATTAAGGTAGTATGTTATCAGCATTTGAAATTGAATGGTTCGATTAAGGATGGCAACCGAACTTCAGTTGGCATGCCAATGGCTGAAATGGTGTTACATTTGGCAACTAGCAACTTCATTTTTATGCTTGCCGTGGAAATTTTGATTGAGATATTTTATTTCTTTTTTAAACTGTTTTTTCAGCTTATTTACGCTCAAGTCGCAGTTGCTGGTGCTTCAAAATTCTTTGCTTCAATTTTATAGCACTCAAATGTAGTTGCTATTTATGATTAAATAATACAATAACTAATTATTGAATCATGGTTGCTATTCATAATCAGCCGTATTCTGCATTTCGACTCGAATCGAAATTTTCTCCGTTTGTCAACTTTGGTATTCTGCGTTCCGTTTCGTTTCGATGAATCTTCGAAATTTACGATTGTACCTATTCTACATTTCGATCGTAGTTCCGTTTTTCAAAGTTGCAAATTTGTTGACGGAGAACGTTTCGATCGTTATTTTCGTGGGTTTAAATAATAAAATTTTATTTAAAAAAAGTCGTGAGTACTAGGTACTCATGAAATTTGATGTGTAAACATGTGCGTACGGCAAGGCATAGAAGCAGGGTTCGGATATAGGGCTGTGCGATTAATCGGTTAATCAGTTTTTTAATTAATCATAATCCTGATTAATCAGATCCTGAGCAATTACTGTTTACTCAAAAAGAATTTAATTGAAATCTGAATAACTTTGTTCATAACTTTCGAGTTTGCTTTCAAACCAAATGAAATTGTTTTTTATATGTATGTTTGTATGTACAAATATGTACACTGCCGGAACAAAGTATTGGCACAGCAAATTTTTCACAATATATGCAACAATTTTCATTCTAATATTTTTCCGCTAATTTCTTATAAAAATATGGTTCATTCTATAACAAAAAACATAAAAATATAATTCCTAAACTTTGTGCAAAACTCGCGAAAATTCAGCAAATTTTCATGAAATTTTTAAATTTTTTTTCAGATTTTTTAAATTTTTTTTTGAGTATGCAGATTTGTAGCCCAATAAATTTTATTATAATAAAGTGCAAGTTTAAGTAGCTAGGAATTACCGTTGATTTTGGGCAATTTTTTCCACGCAGTCTCTTTCTTACAAAATTTTTTTTGGAAAATACTTTATATGGAAAAAATGCAAAACACCTTCAACAAAAAAAGAATTCTCAAAAATCAACGCGATTTTTGACTAACTCCGAACTTGGATTTTGTTACTGGAATTTAATGGGCTGCAAAACTGCATACTCAAAAAAATTCTAAAAAATCTGATTAAAAAGTTGAAAATTTTTATGAAAATTTGCTGAATTTTCGCGGGTTTTGCACAAAGTTTAGGAATTATATTTTATGTTTTTTTTTGTTGAATGAACCATACTCAAAAAAATTTTAAAAAATCTGATTAAAAAGTTGAAAATTTTGATGAAAATTTGCTGAATTTTCGCGGGTTTTGCACAAAGTTTAGGAATTATTAGAATAAAATTTGTTGCATATATTGTGAAAATTTGCTGTGCCAAAACATACTTTGTTCCCGCAGTGTATGTTCGTAGGCACATTCAATATTTTTCTTATTAATAGAAATAAAATGCCAAACAAGTACGTACTATGTAGTACATACTACGTAAATATGTACATATGTATGTATTGTAGCTCCTTAAAATGAAAAATACGTATACATATGTATGTACGTACATTCATATGTACGTATGTATGTATAAATTCTTTTGTATACCCGAGCGCACTTGTGCACAAGGGTATATTAACTTTGTTCGCATAACGGTTGTTTGTAACAGCCAAAACGAATCGTGATAGATATGGACAAATGTATACATAAATGCTCAGAATGAAAAGAGTAATCGATTAAGCCATGTCTGTCTGTCCGTCCGTCCGTCCGTTCGTGTACACGATAACTCAACGAAATTCGGTATGTACGTTTACCTTTACCCAAGCTAGGTTGGTATTGAAAATAAACGAAATCGGACTGTAACCACGCCCACTTCCCATATAACCGTATTTTTGAAAAATTCAAAAACTACGATATTTCAGTAAATATTAGATGCAAATTGTTGAAAATTAGTACGTGAAGTAGAATTGTGGTAAAAAATAATGGCCCTTATTATGAGTTGCATTCGATCTTCGACTGTAGTCGAAAGTGCTGATCGAACGAATTTTTATTTGGTATTATGGCGCTCATTCTATGAAGAATAGCACTATCGTGAATATGAGCGAAATTCACGGTAGCGCTATTCTTAGGTTGTTCACAATAGTTTATTTTCACCGCGGAGAAGCTTTGTTTACAAATCGAGCAAACTAAATAGTGTGCTTATACATATTTATGTCCATTAGTGCAAATTAAAATGAAATACAAAAGAAAGCGAGTTTATAAAAACGTGGTAAAAATTAGTACAACGGAGTTCTGGTTCAACAATTCGTCAGAGGATGAGAGCTTAGAAAAGTGGCCAGGAGCAGAAAACGTTTGAGAGAGTTTAAGTGTAGTCTTTCGAATTTATTTTGACATACAATATATTTAAGAAATTTTGTGATCCAAATCTATTTAAAATTTATTAAAACTGTAAACAGCTCTATGATTTTGTCCTCAGAGATAGTGCCAACAAAGTATTGGAATCTTCATTCATAAGTAAAACTAGTCTTTGGGGCTTGTGTCATGTATGCACGACGTGAGAACTGCATAAAATTAATAAAAATTGTTTAAAGTTTGTGTCTAGCCGCCAAAAAGTAAGAAAACAAATGCAAAAAAATACATTTTTGACAATTATCTAACACTACACCAACGAAAGCAAAATTTCTGTTCGACAGAAAATTCGATACACAACGAAAATTTCGACCCGCTTGCATAGCTCATAATACGAATTTCATTTTCGATCTTCGATAGCCAACGAAGATCGAAAATCGTGTGCAACTCATAATAAGTGCCAATATTATTAAGAATTTTTTGGAAAATGGGCGTGACCCCGCCAACTTATGATGAAATGCTGTATCTCAGTGGGCGCTTCAACAATCCTCACCAAACTTGGTACGAGCCTTGGGTAGGGTCTAACTAAGAATCCTGTTGAAAATCTTTGAAATCGGGCTATAACCACGCCCACCTGCCATATAACGGCAATTTACAGAAGCACGAAAACTGCGATAAATCAGTAACTACTGGAGCTAACTTAAAATCGATGATTGAAAAACCACTTAGCAGAAAATTAGAATATTATAAACTTGGATAATGGGCGTGGCACCCTTATGACCACAAATGTGTATCTCGGTAACCGATTTACCAATTTCTACCAAACTCGGTGCAATTAATAACCTTGGTACGGAAAATAAATTCGTTGAAAATTGTTCAAATCGGACTAAAATTACACCCGGTTCCCCTATAACGTTAAATTTCAGAAATACGAAAACTCCGATATTTCAGTAACTGAGGACGCTAATTTACTCCAAGTCAATAGTTAAAACAATCTTCTAGCAATAAATAAGACTACTATAGACTTTTAGGAGTTGGTCATGGCACCGCCCACTGTATGACTACAAAGGTGTATCTCGGTAACCACCTTATCGATTTGTATCTAACTTGATTCAATTATATCATTAAGTCCTAACTCTGCATATTAGCGAAAACGTTTGAAATCGGGTAAACACCCCAACTTATCATGCAAATGTAGTTCAGAGAAACTTGAAACGACGATATATGATGCCTGCGCCGACTATATAAAGTTCGGTTTCGCCCGAACTTATGCTTCTTTACTTGTTTTTATATTACGTATGTATATAGGTATGTATGTAAAACAAAATATAACAGCAGTTACTCAGATTAATTTGGTTATGATTAATCAGTTTGCTAATTAATCAAATTAAATAGATTCTGATTAATCAATATGTAATTAATCGGAAAATTAATAGTTTTGATGAATCAAAAATAATTATGCTTTGATTAATTAATTAAGAAGGATGGTTCCGTGCGCAGAAGTTGAAAACTTTTGACTGCCATTCACCTGGTAGTGGCCAGAAGCGATTCTTGTGCGTACGGTTCAAATCGCAGCTCACAACGTCCGGATATTTATGTCCACGTATCCTCTGGGTAGCAACCAAATAGCCGTTTGGGGGCAAGCTAAAGTGAGAAGGCTTAAAATTTCGCGTGCGCTGGGTTTGGGTCCCGACACGCTAGGACCCCGCCCACTGAAAAATTCCAACAAGCTTTGGATGAGATCCCCTTTTTTGATAACGACCACGGCAAACGTATAAAGGACTATGATTTGAGGGTATGCACATGGAATATCCGGGCCCTTAATGGGGAAGGTGCCTCTGCCCAGCTGGTTGATGTCCTCGGGAAGACAAAGGCTGACATCACCGCCATCCAAGAAATGCGATGGACGGGGCAAGTAAAAGTAAGTGTGAAGCCTTGCAACGTCTACTACAGTTGCCACGTAAAGGAGCGCAAATTCGGTGTAGTGTAGGAGAGAGATTTTAATACAAACGTGGGTAAGGAAGGGATCTTTGGCGCCACTGTCGGAAAATTCAGCCTCCACGACGAAACGTCCGATAACGAACTGAGGCTGATCGACTTCGCCGGGTCCCGAAACATGGTAATATCTAGTACTAGGTTCCAGCATAAGAACATCCACCAAGCTACATAGCTGTCTCCAGATCGAAAAACGAGAAACCAAATCGATAATGTTGTGACAGACGGAAGGCATGCTTCAAGCGTTTTAGACGTACGTACACTCCGAGGGCCAAACATCGACTCGGACCACTATCTTGTTGTAGCCAAGATACGCACCCGCCTCTGTGCAGCAAAAAATGTGCGCCCGACAATGCAAGCAAAGCTTAACATCGAAAAGCTGCAGTCACAACAGAGGGCAATTTATTCGCCACTCACACACCTGCTCTCTGAGAGCACTCTTCAACAATCCGACATACGCGAGCAGTGGAACTACATTTCCCGATCATTAAGTACCGCCGCCAAAGAAG